TTCGATTTTCATTTAGCTTTGAAGAATGCCGCGTCTAACGTTGGTTCAACGTTAATTCGATGAGCAAAATCAACGTTGTTTCAATGTCATGAGAGACGTCGTTTCCACGTTGATTCAATGTCAGTTTGCTGTCTGGGGTTCTATCATCCTTGTCAGATTGTTGTTTGATGTCATCATTTTTTGTTGTTGTTGTCCAATAGTAAGTAATAACTTGAATATTAAATTGCGGTTCTCAATCATTTTGTTCATTGCAGCATTCCACCACTTTGTCCATCTCGTGCACCAAACGTTTTGAGCACAAGACACCAGAACATATTCGAAGGCATTAAATAAACCTCAAAAATGTCTTTATTACTATTCACAGTTAAGACTGGTCTGGCCAAATCTACTTTTTTCAGTACTTTACCAGCAAACGTTTTGACGATTCCATTGGCGATCTTGGCAGATTACACTTTTTCATGTCCGTGTGACTCTGAGAACAATACACATCTAACAGGCCTGGTGCTCTTTATTTTGTTAGATGGGGATTACGCATGGGCTGCCCCCCTAACTTTGATGATCTACAAACTGTACTTGTAAAAACAACCCGCCACTACAGTATGTCCACAAGCTTCTTAAAACCATGAACTAAACAATACATTTACCAAAAGTGAACTATTAAATTTTTAATTTGAAATGTTTTATTAGCCCCGCCCCTCAAATACTTAGCTACGTCCCTGATTCAAATAGGTGGCCCTGCAAAATCAAGCCACTTTTATGAGGATTGCAAGCTTCCCTGGAGTTTCTGTTCCACACCATCAATACTACTTTGTGATAATTTTGTACAATGCAAAGCATTTTTTGTTTAATACATTTAAATTTTAAAGTTTCAGTGTCTTAATTAAATGTGACCCTAGACCACAAAACCAGTGATTACTCGCAGTTATTGATATTTCTTTTATGCCATTATGCCAAAAATCATTAGGATATTAATTAAAGTTCATAGTCCATGAAGATATTTTCTGAATTGCCTACCTTAAATATCAAAAATGTATTTTTTTGTGAGTGGATGCAGCAATATGGTGCATAAATCTAAATTTAAGAAAATTTACCCATAAGATTTGAAAGAGGGTTTTGTGGTGCAAAACAAACAAAAACATATTCCACCCTACGGGGTGGACACCCTTTGTCTGTGCTAGTCTTACGACAGGGATCTCAGATTTACGCAGGGCACTGGAAGACAGCCAAAGAAGTTGGCGTGATTAGACTGGTAACCCCATTTCGTCGCCATTCGACGTACCTTGAAATGACAACGAAAGGGAACATCACAGTTACGTATGTAACCCTCAATCTGACGTTATGTCATCCTGCCACTTCCAATGTACCGCTGGAAACACCTGAGTTCAGTCTCGACTCCTCAGCAGGAAACAAATCTTATATAACCATGATGTGGATCAGAGTTACGCTATGCAAATGTCGCTATGTCTCAGTTCTACCAGAAAGACTCTGGAGAATACTGTAACAATAAATACATTTATTGACAGCCCAACAAGCAATAAAGTTCTTTGGCGTAGGCCCCGTCCATAGCTCGCAACCCAAGGGTCCGGACTCTGCATTTCCTGCCTAAAGACGAAGGCAGGGGCGCAGCCGACCCCCTGGGAGGTATAGGAAGGGGCCATCCTGGTGGTGGTGGGGAGGTTGGAAGGGAAGGAACCATCTTGGAAGAGGTGTGGAGGATGGAGGTCAATAGAAGCGTCAGCATCTGCGAACTCAAACATGTGTAAGTACCGGTCTTTTATACCGCAAGCATTAGACACGATTGGATCAGCCCATTCTCACCCCCAAGGCGTCACCTAACTGACGCCTTGGGAAGCATTTGGACATGCTTCAATATCTGACGCTTTAGGCGCCCTTTAGCGTCAGCTAGATTTGGACATGCTTCAATATCTGACGCTTTAGGCGCCCTTTAGCGTCAGCTAGATGACGCCCTAGGATCGCGATACCCTACCCCCACCCCACACCTAAACCTAACCGCGTCCTCTAACTGACGCTTTCCTTTGGCGTCAGTTAGATGACGCCGTAGGATCGCGTCATGTAAGTGACGCTAAAGGGCGCCTAAAACGTCAAATATTGAAGCATGGTCAAAGGTGACGCCTTGGGGTGAGAATGCGTTGATTGGATAGATGAGAAGGTAATTAGTGACGCGACAATTGAGTCTTCCTGGCAGAACTTAACGCTAAAGCTTCCATTTCCCTGAGAACGAGGGTTACGTAACTGAGACGTTTGTTCCTCTGGCATGTAAGGTCTGAGTCACCATGCTATAAACTCAAAAGACACTGATTCCTGGAAGCAGTCAGCCCCCATGTTAATTATGAACAGTCTGAAGTTTTTTTCTACCGTAAATGTATACAGAGCACATACACAATTCTGCTGAAAGCAAGATTGGCTTATGTGAAATTAGTCAGCCTTACTCATTTATTTTGTCTCCAATAAATGGGTGAAGGTTTCTGCACGTTACGGTCTTAACAAAAATATAATATGCATTTATTTTTTAACTGATTTGCTCACCGACTCCCAAATGATTCGTACAACGACTCATTTTTCCAAACCACTCCTTTGCGTGACGCTAATCGGCGGTGATTGGTCAGATGACAGACCCAGTTAGTTATTGTTTGTTAGCATAACGCATACACATATTGATAAAGCACTGCAGTACTACAAGACGCTAGGGCTGGGAATCACTGGCTACTTCCCGATACGATACAATACGCGATACATTGTTCACGATACCGATAATATCACGATATGGCGATACTGCGATAATCGATATATTATCAGTAATAACTCACAATATATCATGTTTTAAGAAATAAAAAGATTTTTTTAATTAGTAAAATGAATTTCCATTTATTTATTTTTTGGATAAAACACAATAACAAATACAACTTGTGTCTTATCAGTTGCAACAAAACAGTCAGACACTATTTTAGTGTAAAATTGCTGCAATCAGTAGTCTTTGACAACTGGTGACACCATTTGGGTGCAAAATAGTTGTAAGGCTGAGGACAGATTCAGTGCAACTGTAAACAATACTGATTGTCCTTCATAAATATGAACAGTGACACTATTAAGTGCAAGAAACATAAACCTTTGGGCTACTGCTTTCAAATAAAAAATAAAATAAATAAAAATATCAGGGATAAAGTGCATCTAAACTGTACCCAACTTAAAGTGCATCCAAAAATAGACATTTTTCAGAACAAACCCTTTACACATGTAAACAGCGATCCCATTTGTGATTGACTTTGCCCTCGCAGAAGAAGGTGGTAACTTTGCCTGGAAAAAGGTGTTTACGCCGGGGGGTGTCGACTTTGACCCAGCACCATGCGCGGCTTTCTCACAGAGCTCTGGGTGATGCCGCGACAGGTGGCTGTGCATGTTTGTCGTGTTTCCCGTGTAGCGGACTTTTGCAAAGCAGTTCTTACATATTGCGTAGTCCTTTTTTATCTTTGCCCCGTCCGCACTGCTATAAAATCCAAAGTGAGTCCACACTTTGGATTTAAATGTTGCTGGAGCGTCTTTTAATTTCTGCTCTCGCTTCGGCTGACCTCGCTTGACTCCGCCATTTTCAAGTGTAGCCTGCGCTTTTTTTTACGCTCAAAACAGCCAAACTCGCAACGCGCGCCCCCTATCTACTTCTGGAGAAGGGTCTCATCAAGGCAAAATGTAATGGATACTAATAGAGCATTTTACAACGGCTTTTAAGATCGATCCTTGGCAAGAGCACATCGAGAATCGATCGCAGGGGTAAATATCGCGAGATATCGCCATATCGATATTTTGGCGCACCCCTACAAGACGCTCTATTCTTTATGACAACTCCAATAACAGCGACAAACCTTTCACATATTTAAAAAAAAATTGACATTGGAGACCTAGAAGCTGCGCTGAGCGTAACTTACACACACATACGCACACACATACTGTACTTATTGCGCCTTCCCTCCTCGCGCCCCAACGCTACAAAACCGTTCAAAACCCATAAAAGCAACAATTATTAACAATACTTACAGGTTGGGATTCGAAGGAGGAAGCTGATCCATATACACTGGGTAAGTAAGTTACTGAGCCCTCCTTCAGGAACAACCGCTTGCGAATCCACATTTGAATTCATTTATGTTTTTGAACGATTCGTAATTAAAATGATGAGAACACAATCGGGCTATACTGTTGTGGTATCCTTGCAAATATGAACTCTAACCACCGATTCTTCACATGCTCGTCCCTGGTAAATGAAAACAAAGTGGCTGAACTATCTTTGCATTGTAGGACACAGCGTCTTCTCCACATGACGCTATGATGAAGTATTTGAATGTGAAACTTCAAGTTTACACTTCCCAGTTACTGCGCGCGGCCAATGACCTCTCTACGTCACTACGAACCAGCTAATGACTCGTTTCAAAAACAATTCATTTCATAGACTCAGAGTCGACTCTCACTTTTGAAAGACAATAACTTTATATGCGGTGCACTTTCAGATATAAATCTTTGCAGGATGTTTTTATTCCCTTCACACACCATATGAACAGTCATTTTCAAAAATCCATGAGAGGGGCTCTTTAACAATCCTAGCTGAAAAAAAAAAAAAAGCTTTTTTGGCAGCAAACATTTAGGATGGGTTTGGTTCATACAGGGACACAAAAATACCCCATGTCAAGTCAAGTCACCTTTATTAGTGCTCTTAACAACACAGATTGTATCAATTCAGCCTCACAGTGATAACATGAAAATAATAAATAAAACAAATTAGTAATTAGCGGTAATACAATATAGAACAATATATTGTAACAAAAATAATATATCGTTAACAAAATTAACAGTAGATGGATGTAAAGTTTTCATGCCTGCTTGTGCCAATTGCTGTTGCAAAACACGTGTGGGCATGCAGTTTTGTGTAACCTGAAACATCTGTCTGCTACGTAAAGTAAGGGGCGAATTAAAGAGGAACATGGGTGAAAAGGGTGTGGTAAATGCACAGTATATAGCACTGTGCAGCAGACTCCAAAAGGTGCATACATCGAAGTGAATTCAACTAGTTGCAGGTAGGTTGTTATTCAAGACTTTATTAGGTGATTCAGGAAAATTCAAAGTCATTTAGCCTTTTCATGTGATGGGACATGGGTAGTGACTCGCCTTAAATGCTTTAAACCTTTTTCTAATGCTCTCTGAGGTAACACTTACTGGAAGTTTACATTTTGTTTAAACAAACGATTGAAAAATGACATTCTAAGTCATCAAATAATTCAGGATACTTCCAAAACAAGTTTGACATATTGTATAAATAATATTTGACTGAAGTAATTGTTTTGAAATATACTAATGCAAGAACTGTGATCGATCTTCTTAAGTATGGTGAGGACTCAAATGTATAGGTTTTCATTTATACGTCACTCTTAGAAAAAAAGGGTTCATTGGGGTTCTATATATGAAGCATGGGGTTCGTTACTCAACTCCAAAGGAACTTTTATGCTAAAAAAAATCTAATGAAAAAAAAGAACCCTTTTGGCACAAAGGTTTTTTATAGGCTATTATTTATTCATATATTACATTATTCTGTAATTGTAATTAAGTTATTGTTTATTAAACTGTTGTAGTAACTTAATATCACATTTTAATCATGCTGATTTTTGAAAGATAAAAGCTGAAATGTCACTCTTCGTGTGATATTGATTAATTACATTTTTTAACCCCCATATCTTGACTTTTGTGATCATTCACATACATTGCATTTTAGGGGTTCCAAATACGTAGCGCTTTAGAACCTTTTAAGGTTCTATATAGAACATTTTCTTCTTCAAGAGTTATTATTTTATTTTACAACTATTTTATGTGAATGGCATATTTTTATATGGGATATTTGGGATTTGGTCATGGGGCTACTTTTGAGCTAGTTTTGATTATCCATTGAACTAGTTTTGTTACGCAGTTGTTAATTACCACAATTAGTCTAAGCTATGCACTTCAACTTCTAGTTGTCTGCTTTAATTAATCATTAGCTAACGATTTGCAAAGGTATCATTATGGTATGACTTTACTTACTGGGGCACATCATTATTAACTAGTCATTTAGTAATTGTAGTAATTTCCACATGAATTTGCAGTAACAATTAAATGTATTAATGCATATTAGTGTACCTGTCATATTATCTGGAAGTTGAAATACAAGGCTTTGGCTCATTCTGGTAATTAACATATTAATTGACACCATTAGTTATTATGGAATTAATCCACAATTACATATTTAATTAATAACAATTCATGTATGAACTAATACATTAACCTTACATACTCTTAATTAGATCTTAATAATGAATAGCTTAAATAATCATTAGTTACACATTAATTCAGTATTATCTGTGCATTAGTTAAGCATGAATCAATGCTTATTAGTGCACCCGTATTGTAAAGTGTTACCAAATAACCTTTATTTTCAAGAATGAAATTTATATTGATATGTTCATTCTCCTGATATGAAAAATAATTCTCATCTTCTTCATTAAAGGGAATCTGTCGAGAATACGAAGAGCTTTTGAACCGGACTAAAAGCGAAAGAAACAACCAAAAGCATCATCAAACTTTCCTCAGAAGATGTCATTTCAAGAGAAACAAAGTGACTCCTCCTTGAAACGTTGCGCTGCTTTAGGCGCTGGCATATTAACCATTTGGATAATTGCAGTTTTGTACGCACTGGCTTTCAATTTCACATGCCCATGTAGAGAGGATCACAATGCAGCGGTAACACTGTTCTTCTTCCTTTGCCCTGCTTTTTTTCTCTTCGTCATAATGTTCCACATTCTAAGGCCTCTTAAATACGGATGGTTTCACTGCCCTGAACGAGTGGAAGATGATACGCCTCGGAGCTGTCCTAAAGCTCTCATATCTTGTCTGATTCCACCTGTAATGTGGATCGTCTTCTTGTTACTCAAAGGTGAATATGTTGCTTGTGCCATGACAGACTGGAACGGAATTTATTCTGATGATGATGAACTACAAACACAGTGGTGTAAACCAACTGAAGGGATGCGAACGGAGATGGAGCTAAAACATTTAACTCGCACATATATTCATCAATCTCAGGTAAATATCATATACTGTATGAGTTTGTTCTGTTATTGCAATATCTTAAAGCAAATATTTAATTAGACCTTTCTTGACCTCACAATATGACGAAAACAAATTCAAGTAATGTTTTTTTTCTGTTCTTTCAGTATGCAGGTTATGTCTTGATCACTTTCTTCAGTGTCTTGTCGCTTACCATTGTGGCTATCTATGACAGCTGCATAAGTGGGAAATGTGACTGGTGCCCAAGTGGACTGTTGTTCCTCTGTGGACGAAAAGGGAGACTCTATAGACTGGATGACGTGGAGTTCAGCCCCACCACCTCCATCAAACACCCACTTCTTGCTTTGTCTAAAAATGAATAAACAGCTGAATTTAGGAGGGATGTACAAAAAAAAAAAGGTTCCAAAAGGGTGTTTTCACAGCAATGCCTTAAGGTTTGTTCACACTTGGCATGTTTGGTTCGATTTAAAGTTTCAAATTAACCCTTACGCGATTGCTCTGTTAGTGCGGTTCATTTGAATAAGTGTGAACGCTGCCATCTGAACCCTCATGCGCACCAAACAAGCGGACCGAGACCCTTGAAAAGATGGGTCTCAATCCGCTTACAAACAAACTTTGGTGCGGTTTGAAATGGTATGAATGCAATGCACACCAAAAGTATCTATAAACAAGATGCGACCCTAAAAAGACTCGTCATAGTCAAGGTGTTTCCCATCACAGTTCGGTACAGGTTCTGTCTCCTCATGCCAGATCTTCGTTTGTGTGTGATAGAGGGATTCCCGACGCTGTTTTGACTCCTTTACACATTTTAAAAGCTCTTTACGAGTTCAAAATCCTGAACCACCCCTTAAGTTTTGGTGTTAAAATGCCATTGTGAATGCTAAGAGGACCAGGACGATTTTTTGTTGTTGTTGTTGTTGTTGTTGATCCGGACCAAACGAACCAAAATACAAGTGTGAACACACCCAAAGAAGAACGATTTTTGGTTCCCCAAATAACCTTTTGGTGACGGGATGAATTCTTGAATCCACTGCCACTTCAATGTATATCCTTTGAGTGGTTGTTTATGTTATTAATCAATATTTATCCATATCAAATGATTTGAATGACTTCATCAAGCTTGTTACATGTATGTTCACTGAAACTCTCTTTATTATGACAAATCACTGTAATTGAGGTCAAGAAAACTATTCATAACAGAGATATAATGGTCTCATGACTGCCAATGTCAAAATCATCCACCTGACAGTTTCATGTAATGTTAACCAATAAAGCTAGGTGGTTTCTTAAGTTTGATAATTAATCTGCTATGTCATGTTTATGAAAGGTTGTGTTGTCTTAGTAATGTCAAGTTGTCATGACAAAGACACCGACAGGTTATGATGTATTGGTTTATGTCAAAGTGTCAAAACAAAGACACCTTAAACGATGTCATATTTGCATTCAAAATGTCATAACTGAGCGAATGAGACTTAATGACAGCTGTCACAAACATGCATTAAACCTCCATTATATTATTTCCATGTGTCATGTCATGATTATTGAAGGTGTAGTTGAAGAGTAAGTACATGAATTTAAACTCTAAATTGACTCTATAAGCAATGACTGTGCAAATGCTAGTGGTAAGTAATGTCTCATACATCATGTTCATTAAATTTACATGTTAAATCAGTTATAGTTTGTGCTATACTAGCTGTTAACCCCCTGTGTTGGTGGTAATCAGATTTTAACCGAAATAATCACAAATGTCAGGGCAATGTCAAAACATCTCCAGGGCCCAGAAAACACCTCAGTTAACAGAAATAGACTAGATTAATTGGTTCAAGGGTCCCAAGTTCTGTTTTAGTTAAGGAGGATTTAATATACTTAGCATTTAGCATACTAATAGATTATTTTTTGATAATAGTTATCTAGCGAGTATAATACCCAGATAGCAAACTGACATTGAATCAACGTGGAAATATGACATCGAAACAACATTGATCTGACATTGTTTTGCTCATCGAATTAACGTTGAACCAACGTCAGACACGTCATTCTTTCGAAACTAACGGAAAATCAACTTGAAATCAACGCGTTGTTTCAACGTTATGAAAGCAAACCAATTTTCGATTTCATTTGGCTTTGAAGAATGCCGCGTCTGACGTTGGTTCAACGTTAATTCGATGAGCAAAATCAACGTCGTTTCCACGTTGATTCAATGTCAGTTTGCTGTCTGGGTATTGTAATTCAGTGTGATACAAACACCATAGCCGAAAGTGTTAGAACAGCAAACTGTATCTGGTAAGTTTTGGAGCAGAAGTGTAGGCAGTGTCACGTTATTTCCCAGTGAGTTGGATTTTCCTGAGTTCTTGCGGAAACCGCTTCTTTTTTTTTTTTTCTGTCAGAATGCATGGCACTGCAGTCTTTAAGTTTTAAAACAGAAACAGGAATGAATGATCACAGACGACACACCACAACACACAAGAAGGACGAACACAAGAGCAAGTCTGAGTAAGTCTGATGGGTTTTTTTTTACCCCGCTAAGTGTTTGCTGCAGTTTCTATACTCAGAAGTGAAAACTGAATTATGCTGAAGTTAATAAAATTATGTTCTCAGTTGAAGGGGATCTTTGTACCATATAAAGATCTAATGGAAGAGCCTACAGACGTTTCCACAGTCCACGAGACAGAGATGCCACCAAATGAATCATCCTATTTGTCT